GAAAAGTAAACGCATTATCCACTATACCGGAGAAGAAACCTAAGCGAACCGACTTCATGATCAGCATGGGTGACAACGGTTACACCATCAAACAATAAGCAACTAAATGAATCATACGCACAGATGAGAATGAGATGGAACCTGATAGAACTTATGATTAATTGATAGGATGGTAAATGAGCAACAGAGCAGCGTTGAACGCTAGTGGACATGTGGGGGTGATCAATAGCGCATGATCCATGGAACTTTGCGAGTCTCAGTGTCTCTGACACATCTTTCGTGGGGAGATAGGAACGAGATGCGGGCAAATGGATCGATGGTTCTATCAATCATGCAGGAATGCTGCTTATGCCTTAAAGTTAATAAACGATGTAGTCAGAAATAAAAAGCTGCCAAACTGGAAGTAAAATCGGGGTCAGCCCCAGAGAAGCAAAAAATGGTGGCGTAAAACAAATAAGATACCAATGGTTTGTCGGTCACGATTATCAACCCCACCAAGCCTCCTCACAGGCAGTAAGTGATCTCATAGTAGAGAAAGTATAGCTGATGAGAGAGAACAGCCTATCCACAACCTGTAAAAACACTTGAAGCATTGGGCTGAGCACTTCCAAAAGCAATTTAATCGACAAGAATTGCCATCCATCTTGTTGGTCAGCGATCACCCTGCTCCCTGGGTCGTCCCTTTAGATCCACTCTCTCGCGTAGAAGTCGAAGTGAGATCAGACTGCTAAAATCGAGGAAGGCCGCAGGACCATACGGAATGGTTCCAGCCCTCTTCAAATTCGGGAAATCTGCTCTTATAGATGATGTACAGAATTTGTTAGTGAAAGTATTGGAGCAGGAATCTGTATAAAACGAGTGGAACTACTCTGTTTCAGTCTCGATTTTTCTAGGTTACTTCCGAGTGCGGCAATCAAATAAATATCAGCCTGGTCGTCAGTGCCTCGACGTAGCTCGCTACTGGAGTTCATTATAGACTGAACAGCTCCGTGAAAAGCGGATTCGCGGAGATCAGGCCAAGTTTCGTCGAAATCGAGGCTGCATTGACCACGTCCCCAATTTACGCCATTTATATATATGCAACCCATAGTAGCTGTGTTCTTCGACATCAAAGCGGTATTCGATACAATGTGCTTTAGAGACTGCCTGATTGGGACAGTTCTGACAGGGAAGTATATTAATATTGCAAGAGTGATTTATATGCGCAGTTCGGGCAGAGTGATGACCCACGGCAAACTGTCACCGCCCTTTTACGTCTTCAACGGTGTGAGACAAGGATGTTCGTTATAACTTTCCTTCAGCAACTTCGATATTGAACTAGGTATGGATCCGGTTCAGAAGGTGTGAAGCTTCCTCTGGGTGGTCGACTTCTTGACTCGGAATATGCCAAAGACAGTATTCTAATCCGTGACAGCTGGCAAACGTGTCAAGCGGCGCTGGACAGATGAGCACTGGTTCACAAACGTTTCGAACGGGGTTTCACACGCAAAAATGCATAGCTTCCCTGTAAAGTGGTAAGGACCAATCCCTGCACTGGCTGTTGGTGGGGATCATGTAGAAACGTACAGGAATTCCACTGCAAGGCAGCTATATGGGCGCCTGGGAAACAGACGATAGTCACAAATCGTATAAAGAAAAGCGCGCAGTGCCTTTGCAAGCCTGTCAGTTACGGCACCTGCACGACACCACTTTCGGCATGAAGCGCAGTCTACAAGGGATTGGAGGCATCCATGTCGGATGTGCCTGTCAGTGTCGCCTCCAGAGTACAGTCCCAGGACGCCTGCGCGTAGAGGGACCATGGGTGGCTTGCGCTGCACCACCCACAGCTTCAACCAAACACCCCATATCCAGTGTAAACCCGAAGGAATAAGACCGGGAGGCATGCGGATGGGAGCGACGTTTCATCAACGGAGCCGACCCACATTCCTTCACAGGCAAACACAAGCACGCTGTATTTGGGAAATCAAGCGCACACAAGGCGGTGGCTGTACCGTAGTCCGCTCCACACTGAGTGCATGGAACCACTCTTCGAGCCTAGCACGGCCACAAGGACCGTGCACCCCGTCCCCTCCAGCAACGAGCAACTGTCTACTGGAGGCAGTATGGACGAGGTAGTGGGTAATAGCCAGGCAGGCACCTTGGCAACATGCACATCAAGCGCAGACACATCAGGGATGTTAGACAAAAGCCAATCACTTGAAACGACATTATCAAATAAAATATATCTGTTAAAGAATACAGCTATGCAGACATAACTCTCCGCTAAATTAGCATATGAAGTAAGTTGATTAGCAACGAATCCGCGATAAGTACAAAATAGTGAGGATTTAATCAAACAATGCTACAAACGCAATAAAGTTAACGAAGATAAGCGCAATTAGCGTAAGCAACGTGGCCACTCAACAGAAGAGTATTCAGGCAGGCGTAACAAATCAAATGAGGTGGCATGAAATTTATCCAGCGTAAAAAGACCTAGTTTAAGTGTTAGTCTGTTTAGCCAAACTGCGGTGAAGTAGCATCAAGAATGCAACATCAGCCTTAACATGAGGCACACAGTCTACAATACAGCCGTCTATACAACCTTACCATAGGATTGTGAAATCTGCCCCAGATCGATGTAAACAGGCTAATTCGTTAGGCCACCGGTGCCGTCTAGCTCACACATGGTAGAAACAAAATGTGAATAACGAGTGTCTGCCGCCTATTTGTGGCGCAGGAAGAGCGAATGAACCGCTCAGCACCATTGTATCAAGCACAATGTTCCGCTGGTTAAACCATGTGTTACACATATCAGCACAAGGAAATGCTCAAGTTTCGATTTGGTTTGCAAAACGTCAAATTTAAGGTTAAATTATATATATATATATATATATATATATATATATATATATATAATGATTTGGCGGCGTCCGTATTCGGATTTCCCTGTCACTATGACCTCCAAGGGGACAGTCACAGGACGCCTGCGCCTACAGAGGGTCATGGGTGGCTTGCGCTGCACCACCCACACACCCCATATCTGGTGTGAACCCAAAGGAACAAGACCGGGAGGCATGTGAATGGGAGCCATGTTTCATCAACGGAGCCGGCCAACACTTCTTCAACAAGCAGAACAGGAGCATGCCGGCCTAATTGGGAAATCATGCACACTAGACGTACACATGGCGGTGGCTGGACCGTAGCCCGTTCCACTCAGGATGGAACCACTCTTTGAGCCTAGCATCATCACGAGGACGGTGCACCCCGTCCCCACTAGCAAAGACCAACTATCTCCTGGAGCTAGTATGGACGAGGTAGTGGGTAATAGACAGGTAGACACCTTGTCAACATTCACAAGAAGCGCACCCACACCGGGGAGTTCAAAAAACATCTACTTCTGTAATCCAAGATTACTCAGCGCGCAAGCAAACGTACCACATACGCCGCCTTATTGGCCTGGGTTAGTAAATCGAATGGGAGCGTACGCATCATGCTTCTATTCCGCGTGAAATAGTACCTTCTCCTGCATCGGACCAACCGCCTTCATGATCAGTCCACCGAGTTCGCATCGACGAAATTTGCCTTGGATTCGCAACACCTGAAATCAACATGAGTTTGCGTAAACGCACTTTCCTCATGTCATGGCAATGTTCTATTTAATTTGCGCCAGGACCGTTTCCCTGCAGTAAGTTAGCCGTACAAAAGCGGAATGAGTATATGGTCGAATTCATTCGGTATACATATATACATAGATTGGCGTCATCCTGACAGCTCACACTTAAGTTATGATAAGCGCATGCGCATATGTTATATTCGAACTGTCAAGTATATATATATATATATATATATATATATATATATATATATATATATATATATATATGGTTAAACGCAAGACTGGTAAGTTTCAGGCTAGAAAATGCACAATTATTCCGACGAAGATAAAGAATTTGTCGAGAATTAGGTGCCTAAGAACCTAGCCGTGCGGCCATTTGGCTAGAAAATTGTGACCTCCGGAAACAGCGCGGAATAGTTAGGGGTACAAGGGGCATCTCTAAGTCGCAGCATTTGCGGCCCCAATGGAGCAGGAGTTCATTGAGAACGCAACATCGCATGCGTAAGATGGTGATGCGAACTGATCTGTAAAATGGTAGCCAAGTAAAGACTGCATCAGTATAAAGATCGTAGGCGCGTCTTGATACGTTTATCTCGTTGTGCATGCGCAGTCAAACCGGAGTAAACAAGGAAAGTGCGGATGAACAAGTAGAGAATGTATTTCCCGTATTGCCGGAGTAGTGAAAGTTTGTGTATCTCATTGAATGAAACACGAGGGCAACTGGAGAGCAAACATCTCGTGATCCAGCGAACGTTGTCATCTCTGCTGAATCTGGAGATGGTGGGCATATCGTTCAAGTCGGGGGGGGGGGGAGAAGGGGAGAGACAGGAGCTAACGGATAAGCCTTGACGACCAAGGCGGAAAACACGCGGCTCCTAACACATTGCAACAGTTGAGCAGGCATAACAATGGACAAAAGGGCGCAAGTGTAGCAATGACGCAATGCAGACATAAGCACCTGGGATAAGATAAAAAGCATAAACAAAAGTTACTTTCACACGTCAACTGACGCGGTGATTATGATGCAAAGGCAGCTCTGTGTGAGCAGCACGAAAGGTGACACGTCAAGCGAAACCCAACAGGAATGCGGATAGCAGCTGATACCAGCGCGTAGGCGCTAGGCTGGGGTCATTGTGGGTTCGCATACGCGGTTTTCGTACCTACACACTGAAAGTAGTCTTCGAAATGACCAAGGAGAAATTTTTCGTGCTGAAGAAGTCGCTCCACCAGCGGACAAAAAAGAACGTACATCCAATTAACGCACATTAATTAACATTAACGTTAATTAACATTAATTAACTATTAACAACATTAATTAAGTAACAACGTACAGACAATTAATTCATCTCCATAGCAAGGGTGACTAACGAGGAATTCGTCCCGGCCGAGGAAACCCAAAACTCACCGTCCGAATTGAGATAGCTCTTGACCAACTGCCTGTGGCGTCTCAGTGCGCTGTGACTCGGTGGTGGAAGTATCGTTCGGACAAGAAAGCGAATTGGGTTCCATAGGCGGATTGAGAACGGAGGACTGGGTGGACTCACCGAGTGATTCCGAAAAAGAGTGCGATTGAGCCTGTGTACCAGCGATCTCTGCAAAAGAAGAAACAATGTAAACAGACAATGGAGGATCTATGCTAGAAAGAGAAAATCGCACGACACAATTAACGACCTAGGTCTGTCGCTAACTGCGCAGGGAACAGTAGTGTTGGTGCGAGGTTGAACAAGAGAATTTCCCCACACACAGCCTGCGATAATAGAATCCGAGTAATCAGAAGGGATAGGGGGAATTTGGTGTACCTGGTTGATCATCAGGATGGCGGTCCCCGGAGGGCGACGAAGGATCGGAGGATTGATGCAGCTTCCGCTGAGAATGCAAAGCAAGAAGTGCCTCCCGAGAGACGTAATTTCTCCCCGTACGTGGCTTTGAAGAACCTGGAGCTTCCGCCCATAGGGGAAGGGACGACGGAGATAGGGAAACCAAAGAGGCTTTAGCTGTAGGCCGGAAAGAATTTTGGGAAGCGAGTGCAATCGAGACCGAAGAATCATCGAAAACGCCTGGATCCTGGTTAGATAAGGGAACGACGGCTTCACTGGTACTAGCGGTGTGGCATCGCTGATAGAAGAAATACTGACTTCCAGGGATTACAATTGACGTGGGAAGTAGTGGGGTGTATGTGCATTGAGGGCTGCTACCGCTGGAGAATGAGCGATTAAGTAATGGGGGCTGAGTCCCATGGAACGTGTCGGATTGTGTTCGTATGTGATGTCTCGTCGGGTCTAAAATATGGGAGAAAATACAGCATAATACATGCGATAGATAATGAGCGAATATCAATCCTGCCAGATAAACTGGACGGTAGGAGTGTCAACCCGCCGCGTTGCCGGCAGGGCAGAAGACAATAAGAAGGGGACGCCTAGGTGAACATGATAAGCTATGGTGAATAAAAAGAGCGAGCTGCATATGCGCAGCCGTTTGCCGCAAACCTCATCAGGAAGCAAGGATAGCACGACGAAGACAGACAAGTCGAGAGCCCTGCAGGTGCCGAAATGCAATATGGAAAAAAGGGTAAAGAGGCAATTGATCAGGATCGGGTAGAACCATGCTGGACTAATGTCTGGGTTAAACCAATCTTACCTAACCCAACCGCAAGGATCATCGATCAACCGATATTGATCACTGTTTGAACACTCCGGCATAGTCAGAGCAACGTTCGCATTCGGCATTATGGACTGACGCAGTACGGTTGTCCAACTTCAGGCCTGTAGCCCAAGTTAGTCAAACACATGGATTTTCGAAATGTGTCCATTCTAGTTGTACCGGGCTGCAACGATTTGGTGAAGGAGGTGGGATGGATCAAGAGGGTGTTTTTACAGTCACTTGAAATGCAATTTTTTCACAAAAACGTGAGCACTTTGGAGCCGCTCGGATACACATGAGTTGGATTGCAGCAGACATTTGTCTGTCCAATCAAGTGAAGATTCGGCACCTAACCATGATCGAGACCATCACTCAACAATTATATTTTCAGCCGGCAGTCCTCAGGCTATTACGAATGATCGAGACAGTCACTTGACATTTTCCTCTACAGTCGGCAGGTGTCAGAATACCGAAGAGCCTTCAGATGACGTAGCAAGCAACAATGGCTTACAGCAAATGTTCCGTGCTGCAAATAAGGGACAGTAACAGTCCGTCCCCTTGCAGCTGCAACAATCCAGAAGACCATCAAGTATGTCATGAAATTAAAACCTTTCTTTGCAAGGAAGGTGCTAGGATTAGACCAATCCTAACTACCCCAACCGCTATCGATCACAGTATTGAACATTCCGTCATAGGCAGAGCAGCGTTCGCATTCGGCATCATGGGCTGACGCAGTACGGTTGTCCAACTTCAGGCCTGTAGCTCAAGTTGGTCAAACGCATGGATTTTCGTAATGTGTCCATTCTAGTTGTACCGGATCGCAACAACTAAAACTGAAAAATGAGATCAGGACTGGATAAAATACAAGCGCATGCTCGTGCTATTTACGAGAGAAAAGACTGCAGTCTCGAGTGGTCAAAGTAACCTGACAGTGTACTCACCTGTACGATGCGGCGCACTGATGGCCGTAGACCAACTGCTGGGTAGACGTTTCCGCCGATTTGTCGGCACCCCAAAAGCAGGTGGCTCGGCAGATTGGGTGACGGAGCCGGCGAGGGAAAGTTGGCCTTCACCGGCGTCGAAAGTGGAGATGCATTGAGGACAGGAACGCTGTGAAGATTGCTGACTGGAATGGAGAAGCTCATTAGTGCTTGTAGTGGAACACTCGCTCAACCGATGGCATGTAGTGACGCCGAACGAAGACTTCGATGCCACAGTATCTTCATTTCGAGAGCACTTGCACTCGATGGCCGCCTGACATGGGAGAGGATGGAGAGCCGCCGTTTCACACGTCTGTGGTGACCTGTGCAAGTGGGGGTGTTCCCCTTTAAGTCGTCGCAGGAAGCAATCCAGCTCATACAGCGGAACAGGGTGCGAGGGCAAGGTCACCAGTTGTGGTTCTGATCTGTTCAGAATGTAATCAATATGATCGAGACTACAGTGAAATACCGAAGTTTCAGATGCAAACGCAGCTTTGCATACCGTAAAGGACCTGGTGACCTCATTCTTACCATGATAACATATTTGTACAGAATGGCAGGGCAGATAAACACGACGTGAATTGCTTAACGTGCTGTAAGAAGAAATGAAGCAATAACAGAGAGCAAGTGATTTTTAGGAACTTTGAGCCATAATAAAAGGTGGAGAAAGGTCTCAAAGAATTTCGGAGTGATAATACTGGTAGTGACGGCGCTGAGGAATCCAGGAAGCAGCACTCAAATCATAATAAACTATGCAAAACCATAAGCTAACAATTGGGATTGTCCATAGAATGGTTACAAGTTTACCGGACTGCGTCCCCACCTCATCGAATGTTGGTTTATCGTGGATAAGAATGAGTACTATAAGAAGACAGTAGGCGGATCAAGAAGAATGGTGACGATTTGAATGAGGAATTGTATTGACAGTGGCGCGAACGTGGAATAGGGAAAGAAAACGCAGATCTGAAATACGATTTGGTCGCAAGCAACGGTTTGTCCCAGTCAAATGACCCAAACAAAACACGGAGATGAGAGAGCATATTGTCGACTTCTGGTGAGGACGACAATGAGTTTGTGTGACTGGAAATTTAGGCAGAAGGTACATGTTGGATTTGGATCAATTCAGTTTCTCGACTATGATCTGTGCATGGGGATGCGGCGGATCCAGCTGTCTTAACACCAGGTATCAAAGTAATCATGATAGAGGTAATAATCCAAGAGTAATGAGCACAGAATAAAATTGCCAGTTGGAGTAGCTAGGGCCAGGAATGAACAAGTGAACGCAAGGAGCTATTGCGTGTGTGATCGCACCATACGTCATGAAATGTCCAAAAACTAATTTGGCTAGTGCCGAGAAAACAGTATGAAACCACACAATTCCGCATTTCGCTGAGCTTAGTCACGCTCATCTTCCATGCCAGTGATTGAACATCTCCACGTTTCATACAAATAAAGTTAGTATAGCTAAACCATACACACCGAACCAGTCGGACGACAAGCATGCGAACCATATGATCGAAGGCGATTCGGACTAATGGAGACCCTGACCGACAGAATGAAGGGTTTGCTGTCAAACACCCCTGGACGAACGTCCGTGTTACTGGAAAAGGAATTGCATCTTGTCTTGTAAAGAATATTTTCAGATCAGTCTGAATTCACTTCGTACAATAATTGCTACTAGCGGACGTAGTTGCCCCCTGGGGCCAGGCACTGTCCCGTGCACAGGTAGTAACTTACACGATAGTGGGCGATGGGTCATGGTATTTTTCAGTTAGACTGTAAGTCACAACGGTCCGCGACCGTTCGCCATGGGTTAGTAGTATAAGCTACTGGCCAGTAGAGCAAGCCGGAGAAGTGCACATGACGAAACGGCCGTCTGTCTGATGGTAGGCTATCTATGAAAGTACTGTAATGAACCATTACTGGAAACACAAAAATCACCTAATCACGAATATGGTCAGAGCAGTTTCGTCGGACCGCGTCTCATCCCGTACAGAAACACGTCTGTTATTACCGTGACCTCGTATGGCCAGTACGATCGGCTATTCTAGTAGTGTGTAGCTGCGGTTTCCATGCGATGGTAATCCGACATACACTCGAGTTTAGAGATTATGTGGCCCTCTGAGAAGAAACGTGATCCACCAGACACGGTGAGCTTTTAGAGCTAAGAAGGTAAAGTGGTGTGTGTGGGAGTGTAAAAATCACGTTAAAGAGGTGAGGTGCTCCGTAAGCAAGTGATAAAAGTGGCTTCAATTTCTTTAAAAACACAAATAGGTATCAAAGAGAACGCCGCTGTTAGTGCGCTTGTAGATTCCACATAGAGCTCTGCGACCAATGATGACAGAAGAAACATTCGCAGGTCGTCCCCGTGTTCCATGAGGTTGACAGTATTCAAGCATTCGATTTTGGAAAACAGATGAGGGATTCCTATTTTAGTCGCACAGTTTAGATAGAATCACGGAGCGCTTCCGCCTAGAGAGAGATCCAACAGACCCTTTTTACGAGCGGCTCGGTATGTTAAGAGAAAGTGCTCCAAAGCATCATCATCTGCAGTGCTGTCACGGTTACCTCACAAAAAGTAGGCCGGTAGATTTCATTTTCCATCGAACAACAGAGAGTATCAGGTACGGTAATAAAGACCGAAAAATGGCGTGCTGAAGATAAAGCACTGCATTCGTGTCTCCATCCCAAGCTGAACCCTTGGCTCCAGCATATAGAACAGATTATCTAATTTCTGTTACGTTGTATGGGACTGCAAATGTGAGATAACAGCGTTTTGCCAATGCTGGAAGTGTGGATGCCTGTGTTCGATGAAATCGGACACTTGCGTGACAGAGGCAGTATGTTAGTGTGAAGAGGACGAGAATATTTCGCTTGTGAACAATACCATTGGGAGCGGACAAGACCAGGCCACTTGCTGCGTCACCGCTTGGACCATGAGAGCTGAGGTTACGGCAGAAAGCTAGTTATCCAGACAGGTGGGACTACTACAATATAAATGTAATACCTCCTTCTGTGTGCTATGCCATGCGCATGAGTGCTAAGTCTAAAGGTATCAGACTTCACGCACTGATTCAAGAGCAAATTGTGACTCGCAGCAGTAGCAACGCGCGATCACTATTGTGCAACAAAGTGGGAGGGTTCACGATCGATATAGTGGTAGAGTAGCGAACTTACAGAAAACAACCAACGAATCGTCCTATCGTTAATTAAATAATCGCAATTGGGACAAAATCGGAATCTAGATGAGCGATTTTTGTGGATAGCATGTATCCACTATAGCATGCTAGCTGAAAAAGTAACCTCTGAAATTCGGTTATTCGCAGGAAGAGGGCGAAATGAAGATCGGAACAGTGAAAGACAAAAAGCTCAGTTGAAACGCCATCATACTCTCGGCAAACACTGGACTCCGCTCGAAACGTATCATAACAGGGGGTGATTGGCTGAGCAGAGTCCATCGGAACAAAACGTTGCTGACGGTTCATAGTAGCGAGAATCGTGCTCGCGCATTCGAAAGTAGAACGATGACCGCCATCACGTAGCGACATCGCGCCCCGGAATAATCGCCATAAAGCTGGTTGGCAAACATCCATCGCAATGAGGCTGGACCTTACCGTGGTGCGATGGTTTGCGTGCCTCAGAGATCCATTGAGCTATGCTGGGTGGTGCTTTTTTTTGCACCTTTAGAGCCACTCATACCAGATTGGTCAATGGTTAGAGGCCAGACAAACTCAGCCTCCTGGTCCTCCAGGTTGGGGTTGGAATGGGGGTGGCTCCTCATTTCATAAAACGGGCTCTGTAGTCCAGTGCCAAAACCCGCTGCCTTGCGGTAAGGTTTTTGAACCAAAGGCTTTGGTTGAGAACCCTAATCGTTCTCCTGTCTAGGCCTGGGCAACCTGACAGTATTCTGCCCACGCAATACAATGAACCTTTCCTACAACAATTTCTTGATGCTCTGGCCGTCGCAGAGGATAATAAACGGCGCCCTATCTGCTGCATCGAGCAGGGTGGATAGGGGTTTGGATGCTACTGCTCAGGCCTTCCCGTCTTCTTATACCCCTTCTTGCGCTTCTGCATCCTTATTGTCCCGCTCCAACTTTACTTATATCCCCCCCATTTTCAATCCCCCAATTCTTGGCCCTCCCCCAGCTTACTTCAATAGTCGCTTGTCTTCTAATTTCAAATCACACACAATCGCAGGGCCTCGCTCCAATCCAGTCGATAAGTCCATGTTCAACCAAGCGGACAACGTCAGTTCATCCGTTTCCCTTTGGAGTCCTCGTGTCTCGCTAAGATTGGCATGCCTCAACGTGCGCACTTTGCTGCAGATTGGCCAACAGGCAGCACTTGCCCGCACACTAGAGACCCTATCGATCGATATTTGCTGTTTATCAGAAACCCGCCTGCAAGATTCGAGCTCCGTGCTTACCCTGAGATCCCCCACATGCGACACTGGCGGCACATTCTCATTGCGCCTATCTGGCGATGATGCAGCTTCAAATGCCGGTCAAGCCGGCGTCGGCATTGTTTTGAGTCCCCGGGCTGAAGCTGCCCTGCTTGATTGGATCCCAGTAAACAGTAGGATGTGCGCTGTTAGATTAGCTGGTTCGTTCCGTGCTTCGAAGTCGCGCGGGGACAAACGGTGCCTGTTTGTCATTGCGGCCTACGCCCCTACAAACTGTAGCACTGATTCGGTAAAAGATGATTTCTACCAGCAACTTCACGAGCTCCTTCGTTACAGAAGAAGCACGGATACTGTGGTGCTGGCTGGCGATCTAAACGCCCAAGTCGGAAAATTGTCCTCTGATGAGCTTCATCTGGGCGGCCAACATGGTGTAGGCTCCCGTAATGATAATGGTGAGCGATTGCTCCAGCTGTGTGAAGATGCTCGCCTGTTTCTCGCGAGCACTAATTTTCGACACAGCACCCGCAGAAGTGTGACTTGGCGGCCACCAGCCTCGGGCCAGTCATGGACGCAAATCGATCATATCGCGATCAGTTACCGCTGGAGAGGCTGTGTCCAAAACTGTCGCTCGATTTGGAGCACGAGCGTGGACTCTGACCACGCACTTGTCTGTGCCGACCTCCTGATGCGCTTCGGTGGACGTCCGCAACGTCGATGTGAACGGATTGACACTAGCCAGCTGGCGAAGCCAGATGTTCTGAATGTGTACCAAGATGCGCTGACATCTGGGCTGAGTAAGCGCCCACTAAACACCGTTGAAGATCACTGGTCGCACACTCGTCAAGCGTTGCTATTAGCAGGCATGTCTTCATGTGGCAAAACAAATTGCCAAACCGGACATTGGGTCTCTACACAGTCTCTGGAACTTATGGATGCTCGCCGACGTATTCCGGCTGGAAGCGAATACAATGAATCTCGCAAAAATCTCAGGGCGAAACTACGTGCTAGCCTAAAGAAGGA